AGGTAAGCCAGGGAATAGCCACTGCACTGGGGGTCAATTAGAAAGTACATTGTGCTTATAGACCCCAGAGTTCAGGACAGGTAGAAATAATGAATAGAACTCTAAAAGAGACCTTAACCAAATTAGCTTTAGAGACTGGCGCAGACTGGGTGGCTCTCCTCCCCTTTGCCCTTTTTTAGAGTAAGAAACACTCCATACCCTATGGGTTTGACCCCCTTTGAAATCATGTATGGAATCCCCCCTTCTATGACACCGAGCCTCCAAGCTGACCTAGTATCAACCTTGGGAGGCCAGGACCTACTGGACTCACTCCAGTGGATGCAGCTAACCCACCAACGGGTCTGGCCGCAACTCAGAGCCATATATGAAGCTGTTGTCCCCCGACAACCCCACAGGTTTAAACCGGGCGACTGGGTCTTCATCTGCAGACACCAATGGAAAAATCTGGAGCCAAGATGGAAGGGCCCCTTCGTGATCCTCTTAATGACTCCCACCACACTCAAAGTGGACTGCATTGCAGCTTGGGTACACTACTCCCACGCAAAACCTGCTGACCCATTTGCAGTCCCAGAGGATTACAAGGGAGACACCTGGAAGGCATCCCCACGCCCTTCGAATCCATTCAGGCTCCGCATCCAACGAGACCCTTCCTGTAACCTGTCTATTGTTGAAACTGAACTGCTTATTGGCTGATGGCACCTTTCCTACAAGTAACATAAATCCCCATATGCCCCAACACTTAACTTGGGTAATCACCGACCCCGCCACGGGGACGGTCATCAACTCTACCTCCAAGACAGCCTCTCCCAACACTTGGTACCCCAACCTTTGGGTTGACCTCTGTGACATCTTTGAAGGAGAATGGGAACCTCACGACAGACCCCCTTTCCTCCCTTCGGCTGCCGAGACCCCGGCCCCAGATCATGCAGGCGAAGCCTTGCCGTCTACATTTGTCCAGGCCACGGACGCAGCAGACAAGTTAAGAACAAAGGTGGGGGACCTGGGGATTATTATTGTGCCGACTGGGGCTGTGAGACCACCGGCACATACTGGTGGAAAGGGTCATCAATCGGGGATCTAATAACCCTACAACAGGCCCCCAGATCTACCACTCTGGGATGGGGAGGCACTGTGCCCAACCACGGTGCAACCCCCTCACATGGGGCCTACGGCTATACGCTGCAGGGAGAGACCCTGGCACCCTCTTTACCGTTCAACTCCTCCTCCGACCGGTCGTCCATGCACTGGGACCCAACCGAGTCCTAAATCCCCCCCCCAGATGATTCTCATAAATCTTCTCCAGCTAAACCCCCTCCCGGGCCTCCCACCGCCCAAACCTATACTCCTTCGCCAACAACTCAGGCTCTTGAGTCCTCAAGGGTAGATCCTATTCCTCCCCCTCCTGCCACTACCCCGACCAGGGAAACTCTGTTGCAGATGCTAAATTCATCTTATTACTTCCTCAATGCAATGAACCCGAACGCTACCTGCTCTTGCTGGCTCTGCTATGGTGTTGCCGCCCCCCCCCCCCATATTATGAGGCAATTGCTGTACAAGGAACGTTCTCCCTCGTGGATTACACAGAATGCAGATGGCTATCAAATGTTTCTCTTACTACCACACTCATGAAGATTTCTTAACCCTCTAT